ATCCTCGTTTTGAGCTGAGAAGCCTGGGAGTGGGATGCAGAAAACGGACTTTCTCCCCTTGGCAGCTGCAAGAAAAAGAGAAGAGAACGGAGTTGTGCGGGATTTTGGCTCATTTAACAAACTGCGACAACTGACGACTGACGTCTTTTTGGTCGGTTTAATTTCCCATTTTACTTTCTTTTTGCCCTGATGTTGATACGGTGCAAGGTGTGGGCCTAATGTCCCAAAAAGGAAAGGTCCCAAAATGACAAGAGGGGGGGATCCACTGCACCCATTCGATACAGCACCTGTTATCACACTACCGGCTCGCACCGGATTCACGATTTTTGCATTCTATTCCACGTTTTTGTTGCTTGTTAATATGGATGGTTAGATGATGTTTTGATGTGAATCAGTTGTTGTCATGATTTGGTGGGGTGTTTTGATATGTAAGTTCTTTTCGCCGCTGTCGTTGCTTGTTTCCAGAACATTTCCTTCAATTCAGGGGGTAAGGTTTCAGGGGGTCCGGTCCGATCGACTGCGTGAACACTCACTCCTGCGCTCAACACTCGAAACCAGAAGAGACACAAAAAAAAGCAAAAACCGAAAAGGGAAGGCGGAGATACCAAGACCGTCCACAAACTGAGAAGGAAGGAAGGAACGACCAAATTAACCCATCGAAAACTGATGAATCACATGAGGCTGCCAAACGAGATCCAGCCTCGCAATCACCGTCATCGTCATTGACATCGACATCCTCGTCGGCCTCGTCGTCGGCGTCGAATCCCAACGTCATGGGCTAGGCCCCCGTCAAGAAGAAAACGCCGGCGGAACCGAATGGATGGAACTGACCCCCTTCAGGGGTCACGGTTGCCAGGCCCAGGGTAGCCAGGCGGACAACGATAACGGACTTGGACGGAGAAACTCAGGCAGGTCAGGCCCTGCTCACCACCTGGCAGAAACCCTCGCTAACATACGGATCTACAACACCTCATTGAACTAACGCTGCTATAAACGGTATAATTCAGGTCCCCGCGCAATCCCAATCGTTAACAACGACCTATAGAATATAGCGACCAACTAAAACCACGTGGGCCCTCTCGCTAAAAAATTTCCCCTTGAACTCCCAACGCTTTGCACGCCTCGTTCCTGGATTGCTAGGTCTAAAACACTACGCTATAATCGAACTAATCGAACATCATTGTCGATCAATTCACACACTACGATCGAAACCAATTCCCCCAATGACCTGAGTAGCCAATGGGATCAACCAATTCCTGCGTTTTCCCCCTTTTAGGAGGCTTGAACAAAAAGCACGAGGCTTCGTTCGCTTCCCCTTGCTCAACCACCCACGGGATCAAGAACACTATCAAAGCAGTTTCCACCTCCCCGGAATTTCTCCCCTGTCTTTCTACCTCTCTAGTATGTAAAGGAGTTAGTGAGTATACCATCCATAGCAAGCTGGGCACTAACTCCCCAGCTGTTCCATCTAAAGATTCCCTGCCCCTGAATCTTCCACCTAGACCTAGTCAGGCACCGTTTTCTCTGTCCACTTTTCATCATCCGCTCGCTCGGTCGGTCCTTCGGTCGTTTCATGATTTTCTTTGATTCGGCGATTCCTCGCTATTTTGGCAAAGCGGAACATTGTGTGAGCATGGGAGTCATTGGATGAGTCTCAGGTGACTTGACCCTGTGACAGATCATGGGGAACCACAAAACGGAGTCTAAGTGGGCTTTCTTCCATCATGGCGAGTTCCCATTTCACTGTACTATTCCTGTTCCTGAAGAATCAGAGACATCAGGGCGGTGACGCGGCAATTACCGATCTCTTTCATCTTTCTTACACCTCTTCTGAGATATAACTTGTTAACGTGCTTTTTCGGTGGTGGCGAGAACTTTAAATTTCACACAAGAAATCTCTGGTCCGGCCACTAATTTGCCCTTGTTTCCTGTAAGATCAATGTACCAAGCTAGCAAGTTAAATCCCAGAAGAGGTGTACATTCTTTCCAGTCCTGTTCTATCCCCCTGGATCTCCTAGTTCCCCTTGACCCCTCGGTCACTTGGTTACCGTAGATCCATCGCATGTCTTGAAACCCCTAATCTGTCTAGGTTCCCCCTTGACGATGAAGCCTCACCATTGACCAAGATAGGTGCTTCTAATCAGACTAATGTCTAGAATGTCTGGGGAAAACGGAGGAAGGTATCCACGGATTCGCCGATTAGCTCGTTCGTTTGTCCGCTTTGTCCGCTTTGTCGGGTCCTCCTTAATCTGCCTCAAGATGTCCTTGACTGCTGCTGGCGTCCGTCTGGTCTGGTCTGGTCCCCTTCGGGTACTGAAGCAGATGTGCAGTTGGAACTGGAAACTGGACCTGGACCTGGACCAGGCTGCCTGACCTAGTGAGGTAGGGCTCAGGAGTTGTCATGGCTGTCCTGGCTTTGACAGAGCTGTTTTCTTCCAGTCAGGCCTGGAACAAAGAGTTGTTACTGGGAATGCCTTGAGTGCTCTGTTTAGTGTCAATCAACGCCTGGGGAAGTGGTTCTAGCTGTTCAAATCCCGAGACACATGGCAGAGCATGTACAATGGACAAAGCTCTCGATGTCTTTCACTCAAAGCCACCAGATAAACTTCCTACCTCTACTTACCACCCTCCATCCTCACAACTCGCTTCATCCCCTAGACCTCCTGTCTCAGGTCCCCTAAATCCAGCATCGTCACTAATTGCCATGTCCTTACAACCCCCACGCCAACACATCGTTAGTACACCGCCCAATAACCCGGGAGTTTCTCCGGTTCATTGACAAACATTTCCCCTTCCGATCTAAAAGTAAATCCCCCATCTCCAACCATCGATCCCGTCGTTACCAGTGCCCTGGGTCCTTCCACTCGTATGGTCATTCACTGGGACTGGAACTGGAACCCGGATCTTCCGCTTGCTATCCCACACTTTCATTATTCCATTTTTAGTCAAGTGCTACTAGAAATGCGTAAATGAAGGGCGATCATCATCGCCTAAAACACCCTCGCCTATTTTCTCGCTTACTCTCGCTTATCAACCTAGTCCCTGAACGTTTGGTTCTTTTTAAGGGCCGGACTGGATCCGGTACCCTCGCCTGGGCTATTTGGGAGTTTAAACTGGGTTTATTCACCCACTCATTCATGATGGGGTCACGATGGCAAAAAGGTGATTGGGGCTCATGGTTTAGGTTCCCCCACCCCCTGATCTCTTGATGAAAAGCGAAGTGGATGTGGACGTGGGAGAAAACGGAGGAACCAACCCTTGATCAGAAGGGAAAGAGAAGAATGAAGAGCAGAGAGGGAAGTAACGAGTACTTTTGAGAGTTGAAGGAGGGAGGTGGGATAAAAACGGTGGAAGGAGGGGCGCACTGTGATTTTCCATCGTTCTTTTTGTGTCTACCTTATGTCTGGATGGACATGGCATGGTGTGGCATGGATCAAGTGATGGAAGGAGGGATTGAAATGGGGAATATGGAAACATGACGTCTGTGATGGCAATGGTTGGAAGGAATGATGCGGTCGGTAGTTGATTTTACATTGGGTGGGCGGCAGCATGGGCAAGAATGTCCCCAGGTGTAGAGCTAGTGCGCCCGGCTTGCGGTGCTTACGGGTGACGGATGAAGTTGGATTTCGGAAGTTACGCCCCGTGCAAGGCTGGGTGCCTGGTCCGGGTTCGGGTCCGGCTTGGTGCCGAAAGACGTGAGAGGACCGGAGCATGCAAACCCAACGCTTGGTGGCTGTTGAGATGACTTTTCGGTAGATTGCGCTTTCAAACCGGGTGTGCTTGTTTATTCCCTCCAGGTCCTGTTGGTTTGTTTCGCTCAACCTTTCCTGGGCTGCTCACCCTGCTGATGTTGGACAGGTTTTTGTGGCATCAGACTCCCATTCTTGAGGTTGTTGTGGTGACGATTTGTTCAGGATGGCTACCTTAAACCATCGCAGCTGGCGTCTTAGTACCAAGCACACTCCTTCGATTTCCGTACTGATTGTTTTCCCTTATGCTTGCTTTCCAAGGGAAGGTGCAATACACATGGCCATTCAGAAATTGTTTGTGTGCAGTAAAATGCTGGATGGTGATGACAGACGTCAAGAGCGTTGTTTAGGAAGGGGCGCCCCGCGCATGTATCTGACTTTGTCCGCCTGCATTTCGTACTTGAGCGTGGTCTTGCAAGAAGTTGCTCATCATCATCTTCTCCTCTCCATCACCATCTTACCCACCATGACCGCGTACAACACAACTGACCATCTTCCCATCATCACATTCGATTTTGGACTTCCCAAGCTTGACACAACCCCGCCACTCGCCACCGTATCGGACACCGGAAGCATCGCTGGCGAACGAATCCCAGCCGGGCAACATCCACCTGCACATCTACTCCGTCCTTGAACGCCGTCTGCCAAAGAGAAAACGTAAGACTAACACAGGTCATCTTCCAGAACAGTGCCGTCTTTCTAATCTGACACACGCCCATGCTTTCTCAGGTGACTTGCTTCGTTCTCAGGTGGTCGCCTGCTTCGATCATCCAGTCTTTCAATGGCGACCCACAACGCAATGCCTTCACCCATCGAAAAGCTTCCGCTGGAGCTAAAAGACCAGATATGCGCGCACATGGCCTCAGCGCTGCACTCAGCTTTGCACCATAGCAGCCTTCCAGAAGATGACCCTTGGGTTTTCACTTGGACCATGCCATACCGACTCTCCAACGACAGATTCCCCCTTGGACCACACAATTGCGACCCCCTGACTGCCAAATCATACAAAAGCGTCTTCGAGCTTTGTCACTTGTTTCCAAGGCCTGGTCCCGTCCAGCACAGCGAGAATTATTTGCGGTAATTCCGATAAGCAGTGCTCAATGCCTCATGAAGCTGCTCAGGAGTCTGTTATTATACCCGAAGAACCGACGTTATATTCGATGTCTGATACCGATCTTTTCCTCTGAATGCGAAAAATTCTTCACCTCGGCGGTGCCGGTCGATTATTACGAAACTAATGGGTTGGTCACCATGGCAAATTTTGTTGATCACCTGGGTGATATCCTGTTCACGCCCATTGCGGAGGAGCTTCCAAACGCCATGCTGCTTCGTATCAATCTTATCAAGCATGTGCTCGACCCCCAGTTGATGTTTGCCCAAAACCGCAGGATGTACGTCTGTCGCTTCTGAGGTGTCTTGAATTCGGCCTTGTGCAGTGTCGTTCACATATCTCCATTTATCAGTGCCCTGCACCTACGTTCTATGTCGAAATACTACGATTCACCCTTCGCGTATGGCGAGGATATGGCATATAGCCGGCATTTTCTTGAAGGGGGCCGTCCGTGTTTCAAAACTCTCAGTCTCAACTACCACAGCTTCCGGAGACAAAAGAGTAGCGGCAGAAATCGCGACTTTGAAAAGCTTGAATTTGATTGCTGGATGACATGTATTCCAACCATAAGATATATTACGCTCCTGGGCTCTCCATACGCACTTCAGGGTCTCGCTTTTTCCTATTCGCCTAGTCTCAATGCGGTTTACAAATGGCTGGATAGTGTCGTACAACTGACTTCGCTTCACCTTCTGCAAGGATTTGATGAGACTGTCTGCGACAGTTGGGACAATAACGCGCGGGATCCTCCTCCTCAACAGGACTGGAACTCCATTCTCTTGAGACACAAAGACACGCTAGAGGAGTTGGTGTTCGATGGCTACCGTGGTGTTCGGGATTGTAACTACAGCGGCGAGGAGGACCAGAGAAATATCGCCCGCTTTGGACCTACCGAGACGTTGTCTTGTTTACCAAAACTCCAAAAGCTGGCATACCTCAAGCTACCCTTACACTTCCTTGTGCCGCAGGCGGATTCCCATTTTATCGACGAAGAGACATCTCGGGAGAGTCTTCCTTCACCGAGCACAGCTCCAGAAGCCCTTGCCTTGGTTGAGCCCTCCTTCCCCCCCTCACTGAAGAGACTCGACATTGTGGTGTACCGATTTTATTTTGACGAGGAACGTGTTGGCGAAATGTACCCATTCAGAACAATCACGGTCAAGTTTTGAAGGGGCAGAGACACATCACCTTGCACTTGACTTACTAATTTGTATTTTTTTCTTTCATTGGCAGTTTTCATCCACAGCGACGTCGAAGGAGTTATTATTGTGGTGTTCCAGGTGTCTAACAGTGGACTTGGGTCTTCCACGACGCTGACGCTGGCACATTGGAATGACTTGACAAACGAACAGAGAGAGAAAGTTAAACCACTTGTAATTAGCAGCAGCTCAATAGACATGCCATTAGATTAGTCTAGAGATTAAGTGTTGTGTTGATATCAAAAGCTACCTAAAATGTTGTTAAATGAAATCAAGTCAATTTGTGAGAGAGTGTGTGCGTGTGCGTTGTGTATAATGTTCGTCGACTTTTCAGGAGTAAACATCCATCGAGACGAGGCATCATCGAAGGGCATATCTATAATATGCGTTGGAGAACTTTGAATTGTCTCCCTCCCAGCACATGAATAGTTGCGATGAACACCAAGGATCGTACCAAAATCCGTGGATGAAGGTTGAAGAACTCGATCTGGAGGACTGTGCTTGACGGAGAATCCGTGAGAAGTGGAAGACAAGATAACGTGAACTGCACCATCCAAGCTTAGTGACACCCTCTAGTAATTGCCTGCAGTAGAGGGAATGATGAAACTCAAGGATACCCGAGCCCTCTACCCTTCACTAGCATAGGGGGTGCATAACCCAGCTCCTTGCCCATTTTCCCCATGGCCCGCTGACGCAAGTCGCACCCGGGAGTAATGCGAGAGCTCTTTGTGAGCTGTCACCAAGTAAATCGGGAAGAAGCTACCGGTTCGAGTCTGGTGCGGGTCAACTTTTTTTGCGTCGTTTCGCTCCTTTTTTGGGCTGCTTTGGGTTGGGTTGGTTTCGTTTGGTTTCGTTTGGGTATTGTCGTCGGTCTTTCCAGCGTAGCAAGAAGCAATGAGAAGCCCTTTCGTGCGTGAACACTGGGATTGAAAGGGATAAGTAATGTAGATGAACAGAAGAGTATCACAGCAAAATGTTGATATGAACCTTCCTCCTCGAGCAAGCTTCTATCGAATGAAAGGCTGATGGCGGAGTGAGTATGGCGGTAATCATGTTTGTGCGTCGTCGCCTTTTCTATTTGTGTTGAGGTTGTATTTGCGGTCTTGTGCAACTGGCTGGAAAACAGGTCCATGGGTTACAAGTACAATAGCAGGTACTGCTCGTAGGTGGAAGGCAGAGGCGCGCCTCTTCTTGTAGTAGTGGAAAGAGCGAAGCGCAATCGATGCTCGCGGGATCTCAGAACCGCGATAGCACTTGATGTTTGTAGTTCCTTCCTTGCTCTTGCCAGTTCCATGGAGATAGCTAGATCGCAGGATTCCCCCTTCCTTTCAAATTGACCCGGGTCTTCGCGGTGTTGTTCTCGACGAACTGTGAGCTCAGCAGTAATCTGCACCAACCTCAAGATGTTTGGGTTCAACAACTCGCAAATCCCAACATTCCATCCTCTCCACGCGCCATCCATCTCATACTCAGCCTAACAACATCGTTTTTTTTCAATATCTCAGCGCAGCCATCAGCATATCATTCCCTTCGCCACAATCTACCATATCATCTCCTCCTACGTAATCACCACATCGCCAGAGGCCAGTCCACAATGGAAAATCACATCTACCACCTCCCCCCCTCCTTGCTCCCCTCCCCCACCGCTCGCCACAACTTCGCCCTCCGGCTCGCCAACCTCCACCTGGCCTTCCATCTAATCCGGCGCTTCAATTTCAACACACCCGAATCCAACTCGCTAATCGCACCCTGGGACTGTTTTCTCTGTCCTTTCCCGGCCTTTTCGCACCCGATCGATCTCGACAACTGGCCGATGAAGGGCATAAACAACCTGGTCGTCATCATGGAGACTTTGAGAAATATTTGTGGTAGGCCGATTTTTGCAACTGAACCGGGGTTCGAAGAGCCTTGGGCGTTGTGGTATTTGGCGGCGGCGATGGCGCAGACTTGGACGAGGGATCCGTTGGGACTGGTGAGTGGGGTGCCGGAGGATATGTCATGTGAGGAGTTAAGACAGAAGACGGAGGAGGTTTATGAGGTGGTTAGGAAAGGTGAGTTTTCTTTCAGGTGCAAACATGCTGGGATGGGGCGGGGATCAGTTGGGGAGATATGCTGACTTTTTCCTCGCTGGTGTTTGTTATGGATAGTCAGCGTCAAGGTTTGGGTCTTCAATTATATCTACCATTCGAACATGGTTGAGCAACGATGGTACGATATGCAGACCGCGAGGATGAAGGAGTGCTATGACGGAGGGGATCAAGATGGGGCTGGACATGAGGAGCCTGGGGAGAATGGCGAGGGAGATGGTTCGACAGCAGATGTGCAAGAGGATGTGGAAGACGGCAAAAAAAGACGACAAAAAAGACGGCGGAGTATATGATGTGGAAAACAGCATTAAACATGGTGTACAGGATGAAATAGCAAAGGAGATACGACATGGCAGAGATTGCGACAGCGCCTATTTGAGTATGGACGAAGACCTGGGGGAGAAGGGCGTCACGCTTGACGACGAAGTGGATACCTCTAGTGATGATAAAGGGCGCCAACTCCTACGGAATCGGACAGCGGAGAGACTGAGTGTCGTACGGAGCGTGAGGGTCTTCCAGACCTTGTGGAATGGCTTTCAAAGTTTGGGAATTTCCAGGAGACCGACTGCAGGACCCAAGATGACATAAGGGCTTTGGCTGCCAAGGTTATTGCCGCTCTCCTTCTTGCCGACATATCTAACTCTCGTCGTCCAAATGATGACTGTCGTGCGGTGTGAATAGAATCTTAGAGGTCGAGAAGGAGCGAGAAAGCGAAGGGTCAATTACATGTATTTTTCGGTGTATGGACCAAGTCATAGTGTCTAGCGCAGCATCTGGAGTTGTTGAAGACGCACTCAGTTGGTGGTGGTGGTAGACTGCATATTCAAACCTTGTCAAGATAAACAGCCCAAAGCAAGATCAAGTTAAATACATCAGTCCTCCCGTCCAGCATCGACATCAAACTCCACATCCGTCCTGATAATGTACTTGGCACCCTTCCTGACACCAGTGCCCTCATGCAACAACGCGCCATGGTTCTCACCATGAGGGAACACCGCCACCGAGCCCATAACCGGCCTCACCGGATGGGCATTCATGACACCGTCACGTACACTCGGAGTAAAGAAGGTGGTCTCGCCGCCCTCGAACTCGTCATTCAAGTACATGAGGAAAGTGAACAGACTCGACTGCTTCTTGTCCGCCGGCGACGCATCGTACATGTATTTGCCCGTCGTAGGGTGAATGCCCGACGGAGGCCAAGCGCCGTCGAAATGGCAACGATATTCGGCTCCGGGAACGTAGCGGTAGACTCTAAAGCGACGGTTGATACCCCGTGCCTTCCTGCCTGCGTCGTGCGTGGGGATGAAAGGGCGGACGCGCTCCCAGAGAGCATCATGGAAGGCTTGGTCGACGATCCAGTAGACGTTATGGGCGAGGATGCTGGACTCGGAACCGTCTTCCTTGATGGGCGCGTCGGGGAGGTAGCCGACGGACTCGGTGGCGGCGATGATGGACTTGCACTCCTCGGGGGAAAGGACGTCCTTCAAGATAGACAGCGAGGGGACGACGGGGTGTTCGATCTTGGTGATGGTCGGGGGAGTAGGTGATAGTGGAACGGCACCTTCGTTGCTGAGGTGAAGGACAGCTGGATGGAGGTTGGGCGGTTTCCGTTGAGGACCGGGGGTCGTCTCGATGGCTTGGAACAGATCCTTGATATTCGGTGGGCATACCGAGAATAATGTGCCGTCGAGAACAGATCGCCGCATGGGAAATAGTGTTGCTGATGGCTCGTGAATATCCCACATTTTCTGAAGCGCAATGGGTCCTGTCCATGTTGCTGATGACGAATCCCCAAGGCCGGAAGCATCAATTGGCTGTCCGGTGGCTCTCAGGATGGCATCCATGATCCTGAGCAGCTCGAGTCGACTCTGTTTGTTTGTGGTTTCGGTTTGCGACAAGCCGCTGGTGATGTCGAGATCTCTGACCCAGCGGCACAAGGCGCCTAGCCTGGGGACGTCGCCGCGGATGCGCATCTCGGCCAGCGTAACGAGGGCATCGATAAACTTTCCGTCAGCCAGGAAGCCGGAGACCTTGGCGGTAAGGTTGGCTTCGGAGCTGGAGTTGATGCCCGTGGTGCAGGCCTGTCTGAAGTCGTAGACGACGGAGCGCAGTTCCTTGCAGGCCTTGGACTTGATGATGGCAGGGTTCTCGGCCAATGTTTTGAGGGTGTCGACCGTGACTTCCAACTCCTCCTCTGAGACTAGTGTCGCGATGCTCTTGGGTTCGAATCGGTCGACTTCGGATCCGGATTCGGCTGGGGGGGAGGGCAGGGCACCGGTGGCCGTCTTCACTCGCTTGGCCGACAACTCGGTCGCTTCGACATTCTGCTTGCGCTTGGCCGCCGCCTTCTTGGACTTCGACATTCTGGGCTTCGTGGACGACTCGGAGTAATTTGGGTGTATGGTGAGTCGCTGGCGGTCGAAGCGATGTCGAGAGAGTGTCGAGAGTCGAAGGGAACAAGGGAATTTTCGGTTGGTAGGTGATTGGTGGCAGAGGCAAAACCCAAATTCGTTTATCGAACGTTGACGTCCATCTGGGCCCCATGTCTGACGCGGGGAGGTGGGGTGCGCCAAGAAGACTAAACTGTAGTGGACTTCTTCTCCGCACCAAGCGATAGCCGCAAAGTGGGCCAGCTGTACAAGATATTGCGGAGCTACTCAAACTGCTACAAAATATTCCTCTGCAAAGGTCCAACCTCGACTCATCCATCAACACCATCCGAACCAACGATCCGCACATCCTATGCCACTTGCCCTTTCACTTTGAACACTTCTCAAACCAATCTATTCGGCCTCGTTTTTGAACATTCTACCAAGAATTTGCCGTCCCTAGAACCTATTAGAATGTTTAGCGTACACACCTCGTCACCAACATGCCGCTTCAAAGAAAGCGAACTTGAGAGTGACACTCGCTCAAAATGTCGTCAGGACCGCCTGAAACAACCAGACCATTCACATTATCTGAACCGAGTTACTTGCTATTCTTCGACTGACTTTGGCAATCCCAGAACCCTTGATTCAGCATATAATCTGCCTTCTGTTTGACATACTTCATCGCCTCTTCCCTCGGCCCAATTCTAAAGCCTCGGGCTCATCTGGCGCTTTTTAACATATTTGCTGCTTGTTCATGCACGAAGAAAAGCCCTCCTTTGACAACACATCTTCAGAACAGCCCATGACGCGATCGTCGAAGCCGTTCTATACCGTCTGCTAGCTTCCGGTCAAATGTTGATGTTTGCTTTGACCTCCGGCCGGCTCGTTGGTCGGCATAACGGCTCGGGGCTGAAGCCACGGCTAGTTGGGTGCAAACCAGTTTGTTTCAAATCCGAATCTGGCAAAAAAACATGCTTCAGGTTCGGGGAGAAAATTGAGGTTGAGCGACCAATTTTTGTCCCGCGTCATCTACACATGAACAAGTGAAAAGGGATGTCGAGGTCGTTCGTTGGATGTACATTGGCTGGATGTAATTGTTGTGGGTGGATGGTCTTCACCTCCTCCCGATTCTCCACTCTTTGTTGTCTCTTACTTGCTTCGCGCTCTTCAAGGGCGACTTCATTCAACTTTTCACCTATCGCTGCATTCGACAACCAACTTTCATATCGCAATTCGATGTTGGTTGCCAAGTCATTGGGTGGTGAATGGTCGGGAAAAAGAGCCGAACGCATCATGGTCAGTACATTCGCCTCTGGTATACTTTGCTACACATCCAAGAGCATGTGGTATACACTTGAACCTAACTTCTAAGTAGTTCCTGGATGGAACAGACCCTAACGGAAGCTGTTGTTCTTTAACATGGTGATTGCTACTATAGTCTGATTACAACGGCCTTTACCAACCACCAGGAGCGGTATCGAAGCGTCTGTGTTCGCGCTATTCTTACCACCGCTCGGGTGGTTGGCATGATCATAACTTCAGTTGGTGACAGTGCTCTCCAGATCCGTGTTGCCAGTTCCCGCCTCCAACCGGCTTCCTTTTTTACGACATCACCGTAAGGGAGGCTGACCGAAAACCCATAGGCAAATACGATAGGCAAAATTTCGATGACAGCTATGAACTGGACGCTTACTTAAGGGAAGGGCATCTGCTGAGCTTTGGCCGTCAGTTGGTCAGCCAGTCAGCGAATCACTCCACGCTTTATTCCAATCATTTCAAAAGTTCCATTTTCATTCCGCACTAACGAACGTTTACCTCACGGTGCAGCTAACATGGACGGTTCTGAGACAGAGCTTGTGACGATATCTTTCGGGAAGCTCCTGGAATACTACATGCAATACCCCCCGGCAACCATTTCAGTGGAAGCCAGCAGGATTGATGAAGGGCGCTTGAAACCCGAGAGAGCCTACCAGCTTCAAGAGCAGCTGAAGAAAACCGACGATAGGGAGTGGTCAAAGGCGTTTTATCTGTTGCAAAAGCGTTCGCCCGACGATGAGGAAACGCCTCAAATCCAACTTCAACGGATCCAAGCCTTCTTTACCGAAATTAGGCCTGGGCCAAGCATCTTTGGATACGGGATTATTGTGAGTAAATGAATTCCCAACGATACTTCAGTGACCCATGCAATAGCTATGCAATCACTGAACTACCCTGTCTTTTTCCTCTGTGTCTGGATCCCATACATGACAGCTAACAACTCGCTCACTCACAGTACAGAGATTTGATACACTACTGGGGGGTTGAGTTCAAGTGGGACTCCGAACCTGAAATCAAACCGCTTGACATGCTCACGGATGTCAAAAAGTTGTTCAGAGCATCCTTGTCGGCTGAGGTCCTTGAGGTCAATTTCCAACTTCTATACCACGAATTTCTGCCGCCTTCTCCCCGCGCTCCTTCAGAGTAAGAAACACGCAGGAGTGTGTGTGCCTGAAGGAAGGTGCAATTCGGTATTGGGTTCATGAACACCATTATTGATCTTTAACGCCAGGTCATATTCCGAATTGCATCTACATGTACCTGCCAGGTCGGACCCCCGAACAGTGACTCCCGGTCTTGTGCTGGGCACCGATGAGGGAGTCACTTGCCGTTTCTGCTCTGGGGCTGTTCCAAGTCTGCACCTACATCCCTTCCCTAGCAAGAGGTAAAATCTCCGCGTGCTTTTCATGTTTTTCTTTTCTTATTTTTCTTACGTCCAACTTGAAGGAGAGGATGACGCAGGACGTCATGTCTAACTGGGAATAAACCCTGGGTAGTGCTGGCGCTACAAGATTTCAAGTGGAGGAGTGATTGAAGGGACAAGATCACTTGTTTTGCAACCGATTCTAGGTCACGACTTTACTAGTTAGCTTCCGGTGGGAGTAGGGAAGGGAATACTATTAACTGTTTTGCTCTTTCACATGCCGCGAGATGTTGTTGAGATGAAGCGACCATGCGTCCGGCAGTTCCATTTGTCCGCGGCCGCGTGGTCTGGAAGGGTTGCGGGGATGAAGACCCCAATACCCCTTCTTTCATTCTGAAAAGACCTCAACAGGAATACCTTGCAGATGCAGATGCTATGATTGACAGGTTGCCTGTGAGAGCAGTTGGAAGGCGTCAGTGAGACGAAGTCATGCGTAAAGAACACGCCAGAGGTGTTCTGCTCTTGGGAAGGCTCACCAGGAGGATTGAAGGGGTACTTAATGGCCCGTCACCTCCGGGTTTGCTCTTATCTTTTACTTCTTTTTATCATCGGGTTTGCTTTGATTTCTTTTTCCCTTTCATCATCGTCCGTCTCCTTCATTTTCCACTCAACCACCAATCATAACTACCATCAAAGCATCGGAATCCTCAGACTACATCCAATATATGGTAACGCCCTATCCTCGGCATCGTGTTTGACCAGAGGGAATTGGTTTTAGAAACCAAACCGCTCAGCCTGGAGATTCAGGTCTTTCGCTTCATGATGGCCCTAATCCGGATCAGAGAACTCCAGCAGAAGGGGCGGGAATATGTTTGAGCAAAGTACAAAACGTACTAGTAGACACCCTTTGCAACTCCCGGCAAATAGGCCAGAACAGGAATGCTTGATTGCGATGGCATCTGCTAACAAACCTTTCGGCGCCGGAAGAGACTGTCCCTTTGTCCCAATCCAACGTACCCAATTCAAGTGCAGTGGCATCATTCGGGTATCGCATCTCCTACGCCACTTAAGATGGGGTTTGGTAGCAACAAATTCGTGATTGTTCCCGTTGATCCATCCGAAACCCCAAGGATTACTCGATGGAAGATCGAAATCATTTCGGTGAATATCAAGAAGAAGATTGCCCAATCCTTAATCGATGACACATTACAAAGCGAAACAAGACGACACGGAGGAAAATGTACCTACCAAAGAGAATCTTGCATCAGGATTTCTCTCTTGCCGGTTCATGATGGCGGCTCGGGCAGGCACTACTACTTACTACTTCAACGAGCTTGAAGAAAAGCCCAAAAAGCAAAAAGGTCAACCGACTGTGCTCGGAGTTAAACTGGAGCGTTCACCCGGAGCAAGGCAGAGGCTGAAGAAAATACCACGCATTTTCTGGACCCAACGCGCTACTGAGTAGACTACTAGACCATGGTAAATGGTCTACAATTAGGTGCTTATATGGTCCCGTCCCAGTACCGTGGGTCATGTCGCTGAATAGGACCCGTGCCCAAGGCAGTTGCCGACTTGCCGTGTGTGAAGTGGAAGGTACAACTTCATGTTGGTGAGGCTCGTTCCTTCCACCCTTCCGTAGCTTTCTTGAGTTAGTCTAATCATTTCCGTCCAAGTACTGTACTGTTGTGTAAGTCTTCTGAAGGACCTTGGCGCTCGCGCCATCACAACCACCGGCACGCAACAGGGCAGCAGACGGTGCCTACGCTGGCACCGGCCACATAACGCCTGATGGTGATCAACAGATGTCCGAAGACATATACTGGTCAAGTGAACGAGCTGCCGCGGCGACGCTTCACTTGGGTGGAAGGGAAATTTGCTTCTACAAGGTGGGATAAGAATGCTAAGCCCGCTCTAAGTTGCGTCGCTCCCGTGGTTTCAACTTGCCACCTGCCACCACCAACCAACCTCCTCCTGCTCTCTCTCTGGAGACCGTCACCGGGGGCTATCCTTCACTCCACCACACAAGCTGGAACAAGGTTGCACATCATATGTTCTGTGACGACTTACCCGGTAGAGTTGTGGTAATGGTTGACGTCCCTCCTGATCTGCATGGAGAATCAGCATATTGGTTACGGTTTATATCTGATTGGTCGGCACGTCGCACACCTGTGGTTGGTGGAGTGTGTATTGGCAGGGGATAATTGATCTTTATGTTTGGAGTAGGAAAGTGGAATGGAAAGAGGGGGTGGTTGAGCTTGATTTTGGATATGAAGAGAGTTGGCTGTCGTTGCTGTGGCATGGCAAATTTTGAAACTCTGCATTTCTTTTGGTGTTCAGATGGCCAGGGTTAACTCAGGGATTGCAATCATATTTTGGCATGCCAATGGATGAAAAAATGGGTTGGTGGACATTTGTTCAGTCCACAAATGGATCCATCAGTCTTGTAGATGGTAGCGAGATATCGAGGGTCTTCCACTCTTCTCTTGTCCCGTCTTATCTCTTCTTCTTCTTTTTCTTCTTCAGTCACAAATTGCACTTCACACTCTCTGTACCACATGCTCATGTTCACTTTGACAAGCATCACTTTCGGGTTGGTCGATAGCATACTTCCCCTAGATCAACCTTGGACAATTCGGCATGCCATTTGCAGCAATAACCCATTTTCATCCCTAGTACCCCCCTCAAAATCATCACTGGCAAGCCACCAAAATCTACTATCGCCCACTCAGTCGTACACCATGTTAACCGTCAGCCCCTCCGTAGTAAACACATCCAACATTTCGTCTTTTTCCGTATCCCAGAGGATAATGCTTGCACAGCACGACATGTACTAGAAGATTATTCCCTCTGGTTAGTCTCATATTCCTCCTATGAATGGAATTTCCTCGTCTTTCTGCGAGAGTTTGAGGTTGTACGAGCAAATCAAGTGCAAAGCAAAAGGACGGGAGCAAAGAGAGAAAGAAGGACATTGAAACAAGGAGAAGTGGGAGTAAACTAAAGAATGGAGAGAAAGAAACCCATAACGTACCGGCCAATCACTACAAAACTGTCCTGGTCCACAAATCTTTGTCGAGCACCAATCGCACCCGTCCAGACAGCAATGGGGCACTTCGAAAGCCTTCATCCCTGAGACATGCTTCGTTGATGCAGCACCGAATGGCATGGTCGTGTTGTTGCTGTTGCTGCTTCTGTTGTTTGCCGCGGCGTGCTTGGCCTGTAGAGCGTGGATGTACTCTTTGATGCTCTGAGGGCCGGTCGAGTCGGATACGGACATGGAGGTGGCGGCGGAGGAGGAGGAACAGGTACTGGATGTGTGGGAATCCGTGGACGCAGAAGTGGTCGTTCCGAGGGCAGCGGCAGAGGCGAGGGTCGTGAGGCCAAGGGTGGCTAGAGTCGTGAGGAGTGTTGGGGGATGCATTTTTTTTAGGTTTGGGTTTGATGATTCAGGGACGATTGGGGACTTGTTGGGAGTGAAAGGGTGTGTCAGCCGAGGGTTGACAATAGCTCGAATGAGGATGGGAACTTGGTCGGAAGGGAAGCGACGATGATGATCATTTAAGCTTTCCTTCATCGCGAATCTCCGAGGGTTATTATACGGCCGCAATTCAAGCGCTAAAGATCGACTCCTTCCGCGTTGGAATAAAACTCTTTATCTACTTCGGTATATCGCCAATTGATGACATTTTCACTACTATGTTTGACGCTTAGCAAACACGGCATTGAGAAACGCGATGTTGAACCAACCCCCGTTGGCGACCCTGTCGGTTTTTGTTTACCGACCCCTTTTTGCGTTGTTTCGCTTGAATTTGAGCCGCTTTTATATTGTGGCTTGCGACTGGAAACAATGCTGATGTCGGCACTCGCAACATTCCGGACCGGTTGGATGGAGGATTAGTTGCGGAAAGGTATGGCATTGGAAGAAATTGAACGTTGAACCAACAACCCGTCAACGGCATTCCAGGCCAATGTGGCAGCCAGCGAGATAGGTTATCGGCCGAAACTCGACACGGGATCTGACCTCAGAGGACGGATACGTGACGACGAGCCTTTACCGACTTACCATACGACTTGATCCAAACCGTCCATAACCTATATCCTCTCAGGTGCTCAAGTTTATATGATACACAGATCCTCCTTTCCCCAAGTGTCCTCCCAGGGTCAAAAACCAATATCATCACGAAACTGCCAGTGAATATAAGAAATGGAGAACGGAGAACGTCAATGAACGCTTTGCCTCATCCCCCACGCAATGCCTTCCCTAGATGCCCACAATGACTGCCGAACAGGTCAGTGTTCCAGACACCTACTCTAATCAAAACAATGCCTCCCATCAACAACCTTGCCCCGCCTCTCCAAATGCCTCCTAAACGACTCAACCGTGTACTCGCAGAAGTGGCCATCTGGAGTCGTCGCCAGAGGTGGGCTTCTCATCCAGCGCTTATCTGGGTGCGCGCACGTCGAGCAAAGCAAGCCCCATTACACCTCTATCTTCAACTTGTCCGTATCGTCGTCGTCGTTGTCGTCGTTAAACCACGGCGCCCTCACGACAGTGAAATACCTCCACCAAGGACGAAAAACCGGTGGGCCCATCCACTCGAAATATTTCCCGTTTTCTTTTCCGAGTCAGGAGGAGTGACCTTGTCCAGGTCGACTCCGGCTTTGATCGCTGCCTCCATTCCCTTTGCCAAAAACGCTACTTCGTTGCCCTTGACGTACCGCGCCCAGCAATGCTGCAATTGCTTGCTCAGCGGCGAACAACTCTTCATCTCCTTTTCTGGGTCGAACCCCAGATACACCACCATGCCAAATACCGTCTCGGTATCCAGCAGCACCAACCTCTCCCCTTTGCCCTTTTCAGCCAAATTTCCAGGTCCCTTGCCAGGCCATGTCCCTGACTCAACACCATATTTATGATCCGTCCTCGACACCCTCCCCCAGCTCACCTTCCACCTGACTTCATCAGGCAGCTCCGCCCTAGGCAGCGCTCTGATCCTCGGCTCCAGACACATCTCCAACACCTTTGGGTCTTGGCCTTGTAACCGGCCTTCATCCAACCCAAAAAACGTCACAGCAAATTCCGCCTTCATCGGCCCCGGCCACCCATGATATATCTCCCTCCACGGGCCTGGCCTCCATGGACCTTCTCCTTCTCCTCCTCCTCCTCCCCAACAATACCGTTTCCGCTTCAACAAGCACAAATAACCCGCGAACGACCCCTCTTTACTTCTGCACGCGTCAGGTGGTGAATCACACTCCTTCTGACGCAGTTTTATCCAGAGATTTGACAAAGTCCAGTACGGACCGGCTTCGATGGCTAAGATCCCGCGTAAAATATTCGGCGCGTGGGTGCGGATGGGCAGGTAGCCCGGGCAGAGATCGACGAGGGAGAGGGCGTGCCGGTTTAGGGCGCGGAAGTGGAGCAGGGTGCGGATGTCGAGGTGGCAGAGGATGGGGATGAGGAGTTCGGTTGGGAAAAGATCCAGGAGGCCGAGGCCGAGGGTTGGAATACCTCTAGCTGGTGTCACAGGTGGGGAGAGGGTTCCGGTCGATGATGGGGAGATGATGGTGTCTAGGTAGGGAGGGGAGCGTAGGGTGCGGTCGTCGTCGAGGAGGTGGCGGTAGCCTCCCGTTGAAAGGGATTTAGGGGTGGAGAGAAGGGGTGCTATATCGGGCGGGATTGCGGCCGCGGTAAATGACCGCATCTCTGATCAAGATGAGATGTTATTCAGATGGGTGTCTCTGGTAGCGGTTGCCTGTAGTCAATGATTCTGGGCGCAGGTCAACTTTAATGAGGTAGTGAGATGGATCAATTAAAGCTGAGATCAATGAAAGTTGTTCGACTGATAGAGCCAATATGCGGAATATCCTCTCTGATAAGTTTCTCGTGCTTCTCTTATTCCGAGATGGCCTTCACATTTTATGGTTATAGAAACTTCCACTTGGAGTCACATCGTTTTGATGACTGGTTGGGTCACCTTGTTATGCATGGCTGACGCATGTGTGGTTCTTTACTAGGCAGCTACTGAGCTTATCCGCATAAGGAGGGATATGAGCTCGCGGAGGGTTGATGACTTGTAGCACATCTGCCAACGAACATTCTGAAAGTATCATCGTTAACAAATTGTCAGGATAACGAGGAACGCAACGATGAGCTTGGGAAGCCGTTCGTTTGGATGTTTGTTGATGGATTGTCGTTTTGAGGACGTTGAAATAAGAAAGAGGAAGGGCGGGCGGCTCAAAGTCTGACGGGCAAAAGGCTAGGAGCACGGTGAGGTGTGAGTTGAACAGATTGCCTGCCTCTGAGCTTCAACTGCATAACCACACATACGTACAATGTGCTGACGGCTGCCGGCTGGCGGCGATGCCTTCTGCTCAATCAAATCTCACTGAGCTGATCTCTGGGGATTTGAATCAATTCCGTGATCCCCTCAGTCTAGAGACATCCATGTGAGTCCTTCCCATCATGCGATTTTCCTTTCCGCTAGCGTGTTCATTTGCTGATCCTCTTCGTGTTTAGACGCACTTCTTACCATGACAGGCTACCAACTCTTGAACAACATCGCAGACTTGTATCCAATAGAAAGTCCGTGGAAATTAAAGTCTCCAGCACTGTTGAAACAACTAGCCCTTGGAAATGAAAGATCCGGTCTGGTCCCCGCCAACGTCCTCTGCTCACGTTGCTCCCGCGTCACCAGCACGTCCAAATTGATCCGCCTGATGCTCAGCGGCGACAAAGAACAGATCCGAAAAGAAGCACAAGAGAATTACACCGCCGAGGCCTTCTTTCACAGCTACAGTGTTTGCGATGTTCTTTCCTCCGCTGCGTCGGGTTGCCATATCTGCTCCATTATCTCGAGCTCACAGGAAATTGACCCTGATGATCTGGACCGGGAGGATCCGGACCAGGGGGTCGTCCAAGCCCGTATAAAGTTTGAAGCATATGAAGAGGAAAACGATGAACACCGCCTGTATCTATTTATCGAGGATGTTGGTTGGTTGCCAATACCAGCGGGCGCTGCCGAGGATTATGAGCTTCTTGATAGCTTGTTGCAAGAACAGTTGGACAGACGTCATGATCGCTGGGCTAGTCAGATCGATTATCTCAAGATCTTACCCATCAAAGGTTTGTGATGTCCATCCAAATATTAAGGCTCAAACCTTGGTTACTCGACGCAGCAATGCTGACATGATGTTGCAGAAGAAGATTTCATGTACTTCCAATCCGGACCACCAGAAACCGACTTCCTCCCTTCATCAACCAATTCGCCCCAAACATTCAGTGTTATACGACGCTGGATCGATGACTGCTTGCAGAACCACCCCGAATGCAATGAGAACTTTCTCACCAAGGGAAAAACTTCAACCGATGTGAAGCTTCCAACCCGCCTCATATTTGTGGGAAAAGAAGCACATGGACAACTTGTACCACGCCTGGTACTACCTGAGATGTCTGAGCCCAAGGTAAAATTCAATTATCTTACTCTCAGCCATTCATGGGCGATGACTGGGAAATCTATCATGTTAACGATCACGAGTCTCGAAAGGTTTCTCACGGAAGGAATTCCACTTGAAGACTTATCACCAACTTTTCGCGACGCCATCACCATCACTCGAGAGCTCGGTTTCCAATATATCTGGATTAACTCATTGTGCATCATCCAAGACTCAAATGAGGATTGGGAGAAGGAAGCACTCACTATGAGCGACGTCTACGGGCATTCCTCCTGCAACATTTCCGCTTTTGGGGGTCTCCCCGTTGACGGCTGCTTCGTATCTCGGAATCCGTTGCATCTTTTTCCTTGTCGCATCAGGCGAGATATCCAAGAACCGGGATTATCAAAGGACGCTTGTGCTTACGTCTTCAAAGACGAGTGGCCGCCATCAGTGAGACTCGTAGACCGAGAGGCAACACCACTACTTTTGCGAGGATGGTGCGTACAGGAAAGGTTGCTAGCTGCTCGGGTGGCATACTTTGGCGCCGAGGAGGTCTTTTGAGAATGCTGTCACTACGTGGTCAAGGAATCGAGCCCTCCGAAGCAGTGGATGAAGGATCTTGTCAGCGAAAACGCACCCTGGGTCTCTCAGAAAGCAAGGTTTCAGGAGCTTTGTAATCGCGCATACAGCGCTGGTGACATGAAGCCGCCGTCTCGTGCAAGGAAGGTTGGCTGAGTCCCGCTCGACAAGGTAAAGACAGTGGAACCCATTATACTCCGGTTGTATCTTTGTTGGTATCGCATTGTGTCCGATTACAGCTTGGCCAGTCTGACGAGGACGGCTGACAGGCTCATGGCTCTTGTTGGGATTGCCAGTGCTATCGAGCAGAGTCGTGGTTGGACGTACGTAGCCGGAACTTGGAAGGAGTTCTGGCCCCTGGATTTGCTATGGTGTTTTACCACGGCCGAGGAGAGTCGGGTGGTCTCCGGGTTACAAGCACCCTCTTGGTCGTGGGCTGCTAAAGAAGGGAGGAAATCTTTCTTGATTAGTGTCATGTTCAATTGGCACTCGTTCAAGGATAGTACGGTCACGTACATGTCGGAGGTCGTGGACTATTTCTGTCCTTCGACATTGTCCAGGCACTGCAGTGGTGGCAACCTCACAGAAAAAGGGGGATCGGGAATGACCATCACCTTGAAAGGTCCAGTCAGAAAAGGCATTGTGGGCAATGACTTGGGAAAGTTTCGGCCTCCATGGGAGCGTCGAGTTCAGCTGGACGACAGGTACGGTTTAGCGGACTTGGTCAAGGTGAGATGGGATGAAGTTCCAGAAGAGGGCGAGCCTATGATTCTTCTGCTGGTGGTGACATGGGAGGAGTATGAGCTGTCTTTCCAGCATGTTGGACTGGTTTTGATGCCTGAGCCTAATCAGCCTGTTACGGACGGGACGTCTGGCATGTTTTACAGACGAGTGAGCGCCTGGATTGCTCACCGAGCTGAAACAAATCCGCAATCTGTTTTCTTCGACGGCACCGAGGCCGACGAGATTGTGCGGATATGTTGAACGGAGAGTGGACGTCAAATCTGACCAGCAGATAAGTACGGACCCAAGTAAAAGAAGAGAGCAGGATGACCGGCGGGCTGGCCACAAGAGCTTATGAGTGAGTTCAAGACAGAGAGATTGGCGAATGGAAAAGCGGCGGAGATTTTGGAAAAAGAATAGCTGACACTGGTGGGGGACGATCCCAAGGGCACCATGGGAGGGCAGGAGTGCCCGTTGAAGTGGGCTCCCTATTATCGCACCTGCCTCTGCCTGCCCGTCACTTACTCATACAATGACGTGCGCACATTCCGTTCCCGCCCCCGTCGCTTGCCATTTCGACCCGATCCCTCCACCCCGCGCATCATCCCATCAAGATCTCCAGCTCCCGTCCAACCCGACTGGACCATATTAGTCTCCTTCACTGGCTACCTTTACAACAACCATGAGAAGGCCCGTTGGTGTAAATGGTAATATTTCCGGCGTGGTAAATCTGCGTCTGCATACGTGCCGCAGGAAGACACGGTTCGAGTCCGTTACGGGTCACCCCCTTTTTGTGTTCTTTTTGCGGCCCCTTTTTGCAATTCCTTTTTGCAGCCACCCATTTAAATCATTCCATCTTTTCTTTCTCTCCATTTTTTTTCGTTAATGCAAGACAGCAAAATAATAAATCAAGCAGGCCAGTTTCTCCTCACTCACTCACCCACATATCTAACGATCACAAGAAGAGGCGAACCACCTTTTGCAAGATTTAATTCCATTAATGAATGATGCCCATTTACAAATGAGTGAATACTAATAAAACAAACTATCCATCCAGCTGCCCATCTCGGAACTACAATCTAAAAAATCATCCCCCGATTTATTTCAGGCAACAGCCCAGAACCATCTTCCAGAAGGGCTCAGTCCGTGCAATAGGGTTAGAAGGAGTTTTACTTCTTCGATTTCTTCGGGCGTTGGGAAGACACGGCACCCGAAGGTTGGGGAGGCCGGAACACAGATGGAGGCTGGACCGTAGACGGACGTTGGACAGCAGACGGACGCTGGACCGTGGTAGATGGGCGCTGAACCACAGTCGGAAGTTGGGTAAGCATGGACCGAGATAAACCTTGAGCAGGCCAGAGCCAAGATGCACGAGGGGCAGATTGAGCTTGGGAACGTAGGAAACCAGGTCGACGCGAGGATCGGCGCGAGTGAAGAGGAGGCGAGCAAGCTCTGGCGCATCTGTCGCAAAGAGCGTGCGTTTTGATGGTCCTCCTGTTTACTCGAACACCGTGTCCGCAACTGCCAATCACGCCCCAGCCTGCAGCCGCACATCTTTCCTCAAATTCTCGGCTGTTGTCGGCCTGCCCTTGGTAGTTGGGAGTTGAGCAAGTGTAGTCCTCGATGTCTCTTGCACATCTTGATTCTTTTTGCTGGTACGGGTGAGTTTGTCGGTGAGTGGACGGGTGATGAAGGCTGCCTGATTAGCCAACAGGTGGGATAGGAATGGGGGGAACTGGTACTGAAGGAGAAATTATGGATGGTAACCTAGGATTTTGGATCAGAAACTTGAGCTTTTGGCCGGCTTTGGTTGTCTGTTCGGTAAACGGTGTGTTTATAAACTGTGGTTGTTGAATATGATGCTGATGATGGTCAGTAGTCAGGTTAAAGCCCCATCGCTGTTATTACGGCCTTTTATGTCAAATCAACGACCTCCAACCCGCCGCCTCAATCGTTTATTCCTCCATCCTGCGACAATGAAGAAACCAACTCGATATTGAAAGTCTAGATCAAAGAGCTCTCTCGAGATAGCTCCCGAGAGCTTTGGCGAGCGGTAAGAAGTTCTTGAAAGCTTTTGTGTTCAGAAAGTTTTCATAAGGGCATGGAAAGAATCATTGTCGAGGCCCCTGAACTTTGGACAATTGACGTTATTTTAAAACCGTAGTCTCGCGGCCAAAGGTTGTGAGACTTGAACTCGGGATTAAAACAATCCCTTGTAGGAAGTCGAAAAGGAGCTTCTTTTTATTATCACTGCAAAAGAAAAATGCCCATGTCAGAACAGCTGAGGTCAGAAAGGAAAGAGGCATGGAATGAGCTTGCGGCCAAAAGCAGGCCGCCTCAATGGATATTATATTGGGAAAGTGCAAGAGGCGGGATGGCTTGTAGTAGTCCTTGACAATGGGCGGAAAATCATTCAGATCAATGGGCCTTGTCAATGCCGATGCAATGAAGCAAAGGGAAGACGACAACCCAAGATACACTAGGCCAGTGAGTTTGGCAGACGGGACCTCAGGAAACAATTATCATGGTGTTCAAAAGATCCAAAGGGGGGAATGAAGAAAAACTAACAACAGGTGCTGGCGGTCATGGTCAAAGAAAGCAAGCGCACTCGAAACGCGCTCCCTATCATCGCATCTTCTTCTGTTGTCACCTTGCTACACCACGAATTTTTCAACCTCAAATTCATCGTTCCTTCCTTCCTGGTAGTACCTGCGCGAATACTCGGATTCGAATCTTTTCTCAGCTCGACGGTTGCAACAAACATCCACCAGGTAGCGAATGCGATTCATTGTGATCCCAATATCCACCATGCGCATCTTCTATACCACCCACCCACTTACTTCCTCACTTACTCACTCGCCAAGACACCTCTGGTCCAAGTTCAAAACTACCGCTATCGTGCTGAAGTACTAAGAACAGAATATCAGAGAATATAAGCATCACACCCCAACCAACCAACGGATCCTCAGAAGGACGCAATTACCTAGGCACGTATACCAGATGAAGAGAGAAAGACAGTCAACCAAGATCTCAAGGTTTCTCCCGCCAAACATCGCCAAACACACATTCGGTATTTTGATGTCATATCCCCACGGCTCAACCCGTCCGCTCAGCGCTCACCTTGGGACCGGGGGAGGTAAAGAGGAGACGGTGAAAAATAACTCAAGAAAACCAAACAACACACATCCACCGTTGCCGACGGTTCGGTGCTTCACAGTAAAGCCCAAACAAGACAAAAAATATATATATATATATTCCATACCATACCATATATACCAAACCAGAGCATTCATTCATTCCAAACATAGACTAAACCCTTCTTTTCGCATCTCGATCCCACGCACGACCGTCGACCACTACCATAGAACTTTCTTGCCTGCCGGTGAATGGGTAATGTAGAGGTAGTCATCTAGAATCTAGTCTCCGTGTTTTCTTTGTCTCAGGCACTCAATGCCCGTCCATGAGTTAGATCTGGACCCAACACAACTGGGACATCAACGTCTGGTCTGGTCTATGGAGATTACTCGCCAGCCCAGCATGAGCCAGCAAGCCCATCGAACCGAACCAAACCGAACACCTGACTGATCTGACCTTTGGTTATCTCTTACCAATGTTACACAAATAGTGGGGGTTGGTTGGTTGATCTTCTCTGAAGATTATCTAATAGTCTTGAGCTAGTGGTAGAGGTAGATATAGGCATCCTGTGACCTCCGGATACTTTATCATTCTTCCTTCCTCCAGTCTCCATGGAAACGTACCTAGGTATTGTGCCTGCCACGTCGACAATTTGGGGATTATGGAGAATTGTAACCATAGACAGAGCCCGGTTGAGCCCGGTGAGCCTGGTGAGCCTCGTAAGGCATGGCATGCAGGGAGATAGTTCGATATATGAATGCCGTAGCCATCTTCTCTCATCACCATAGCTGTAGATCTGTACACCTGTACTGTATATCGTGGAGGTGAGGTGTGGTCTGGTCTGGTGCTGTGTTGTGTTGTGTTGTCAATGCGGTCTCAGACCCTTCTAGCCTTTTTGTCCATCGTCAACTACTTAGAGGTACGTACTCCCGTAGACCCTTCACGCATGGGGGACATGGTATCGATTCGATCAACGTCTCTTTACCTCTCATCCCAAGGATGCGGAGTATAGCTTAGCCGGACATGGATAAGCTTCTGAAGGGAGACAAGGAGTTCATGTTGTTCATATACCTATTATGTAGTCTCAGCGTTGGGATCCTTTTGTGTTAAGAGACACTGCTCGTGGTTACACTCAAGAAGAGCCGGTTGGTGATATGTCTATATTTTGACCAACAGCGTGGAGACGATGCTCAAACTGTTATGCACAAAAGTGATCGGGGACGTGACTACATATACCGCAGAAGCGGTCACTTGGAACATACATACAGAAGGTGTGGTATAACTAACACCAAACCGGCTGGCTTTACACTTATTCTAAGCCACAAAGGCGATGTGATGTATGTCTGAGGCGTTCAGCGAGGGTGGCGTAAGAAGGTAGTCTCGGTACTCTCGGTACTCTCGGTACTCGGGAGGGAGAGACGGGAATAGCTTCACATGAATATGGCTTCCACTCTTAGAATAGACATTATCTGTACGACAACGCAGGACCCTTTCGCCATCCCTTCCCCGACCGGGTTGGAGGGTCGTACAACTGGAAGCTAACTAGCAGTCTTACATTACCTGCTTACCATGACAAGAACTCCCATTGAAGTGGTAATTTCGCCATCAGATCAAAGAGTGGATGTAGTGTTCAGAGGTCTGTACATAGTCTCGGACTAGCCCCACCGCCCACCATCCACTAACACAACTGACACAGTCGCCACGAGTCCGGGCGATCAGCTAAAATATGAAACAGACTTTCCTCGTGCGGTTTTAGGTTTTGGGCTTAGAAGAAGATCTCGTAAGCTGCAGGAAACAAGGGCACTTCAAGATGAAGTTATCGTGGCGAACGAAGATCATAAGTACACTAGGATAGCGTACGGGCAGCGTGGCTGTACGTAGTTGGTTCCAGCAGTGCTCCCGAGTGCTGACTGGGTTGGTGATTTTGAAGATGGCACAAGATTCATCAGGCCATTATTGATAGGCAATTAGAAGGCAAGAGAAATGCCTGGTAGAAATCCGAGGCGCGATAGCCGACGACGATGAGACGTAACATCGGGCGGAGTGTGGAGGATCTGCTTGAAAAAGGCGAAAGTTTTGGTCCAACGTTTCAAGGTTCGACCCAGCTAATCCTGCGGCGCGGCAGCGGCAAAGGCGACAACGGCAGCGGCGGCGGGATCGGATCGGAACCGGAGTCGGGGGTTTTGTAAGAAGGGACCATGGCGTGAAGCCAGCCGCTCGCCTCCGCATGTTGCAAACGCCGCAGCCATCCTCGCCATCCAAGGTGTGTTACGGTATCTCCATGTATTGAGGTATTGAGAGAGAGCACCGCACTAATGCTGATTGATGGTGCAGAACTGTCTGGACTCTGAAACCTTTTCATGCGAACATCATTCACTCTTTTTTTCCCAAACCCATCCATCCATGGTGATTGATTGATTTCCTGTTTGTCGCTTGACTCGGCAACATGCCTCACACTTGTAAGAGGCAGAGAGCAGCAGCAGGGCGAGAGAGGCCGGACCCAGGGACGGAACCAGCAAACTCGTTCAAAGAAAGCGGGGTTGGGAAAGTATCGATGAGAGCGAATGTGAGAGCGGATGTGAGAGGGTGAATGAAAAAAAATGAAGAAAACCAAGAGTGTGCGTACGCAAGAAGGCGTAACGGCTCCC